AGCAGCAGCAGAGAGGGAAGAAGAGGGAGAAGGAGAAGGAGTAGAGGAGGGAGTGCTGCTGCTGCTGCTGTCTTGGCGGTTCCAGCGGTGGGCGCGAAGGCTGGGGGGAGACAAACAAATTCATTTTGCTGCTGCGCTGCTGCCTGCTGCAGCACATCCATCTCTTGCTGCTGCTGCTGCTGCTGCTGCTGCTACTGCTGCAGCAGCAGCACAGACATCTCTTTCTGCTTCTGCAGCAGCAGCAGCAGCAGGAAGGGCGCCCGCCAGTTNCAGCAGCAGCACAGACATCTCTTTCTGCTTCTGCAGCAGCAGCAGCAGCAGGAAGGGCGCCCGCCAGTTCAACTGCTGCTGCTCTGCTGCAGCAGAGGAACTCACGACGCCTTGCTGCAGCACGAATACAAACAACAGCGGCAGCAGCAGCAGCAGCAGCACCAGCAGCACCGCTGCAGCAGCAGCAGCAGCAGCATGATGGGGCCAGCCTGGCACAGCAGCAGGCGCTGCAGCAGCAGCTGCTGCAGCAGCTAGATGCCTTGCATGTTGCTGCTGTGCATCAGTACAACCAGCAGCGGGAGCAGCAGCAGCAGCGGCAGCAGCGGCAGCACAATCAGCAGCAGCAGCAGCAGCAGCAAGTTCGTCGGTTGTTGGAGCCTCATGTTCTTAGTGTTGCACAGACAGGTTTGCTGCTGAAGGCGCTGCTGCTGCTGCCTCTTCTTTCTGCTGCTGCTCCCTTTAGGGCGTTGCTGCTGCAGCAGCATCCGCTGCTGCAGCTAGCTGTTCGTTCTGTGTCTGTACACTGCAACACGTTGAGAGCAGCAGCAGCAAAAGATGCTTTGCTGCTGCTGCTGGTGATGCCTCCAACTCACCACCAGCAGCAGCAAGTGCAGCAGCAGCTGCAGCAGCTGCTGCTGCTGCAGCAGCAGCAGCAGGCGCGAGAGCAGCGGCTGCTGATAGCCCGCTTGGTTCGACGGTTGCTGCTGATAGGGGGGGAGCTGCAGCAGCAGCAGCAGCAGCATCTGCTGCTGCTGCCTTTTTTGCTGCTAGCAAAGGATCCATACTTCGCGCAGCAGCAGGGCCTGTGGCAGCAGCTGCTGCAGCAGCAGCTTGCTGCTGCTGCTAATGGTCCTCTGCTGCTGCAGCCGCAGCAGCAGCAAGAAGCAGCAATACAGCTGGTGCTGCAGTGTATCTCCACTGCAGCACAAACTGCTTCTCAAGCCAGCAGCAGCAACAGCAGCAGCAGCAGCAGCAGCAGCAGCAGCAGGATGAGTGTATTTGTGAACGATGCGGTGTATAGCCACCTGGGGGAGGATTGGCTGCTAGCAGCAAGCCCTGCTGCTGTTGCTGCTGTGCTGCTGCACCTCTGTCGCTTGGGGGCCCTTACTTCTTCTTTGTTTGCTGCTGCTGTTGATTCGCTGCTTGCTGCTGCTCTGCTGCAGCGGGAGCAGCAGC